TCAAGGAAGAAAGCACATTGTGCAGAAGGCCTCTGGACTCGGGCCTGGTCCTGTCTGTTAAGTCTTTATCAGCAACTTAGAGAATGACCTGAAAAGCTGGCAAGCTGGGGGGACTCATTAACACAGGCCAAAACACAAACAGTAAAGATCTCAAATCATAGGCACCGTGGGCTAAGGTTAGCATGACCCGGAGTTTCTGTTCTACAGAGGCCGACATGTCACTGCCCTGTTGAGAATGAGTCACTGAGGTTTTTCAGTGAAACTCACATCATCCCCTGCTGCATTCCAGTGGGGTAACCCGATATAACCTGGGGTGGTGGTAAAATTATCTACTTGATATGGGGATGACTGCAGGACGGCCAAGCCTGATACAAAGGAGCTATTTATTATAACCCCAACCTGTTAGATGTCTGAGCCACCAGGTTTGTAGTCTCTAAAATCGAAGCATAAGTTCTAGGACAAAGGAGGTTAAGAGTAGGGATTATTTATTGCGGGATAGAAAGCTCCTGTGTGAGAGGAACATGAGGGGATGCCCAGCAAGTGGGTTACCCAAGGACCCCACTTCTCAGGGGAAGTTTTATAGAGCACAACTACAACCAGTAAGAGTGTATGTAGAGCCACGTGGGTAATGCTGACCCTTGGGGAGGTAAGTCCCGGAGCAAATGTACACGGAAAGAACAAAGAATTTTCCAGGTAGATGGTGGGTGCAGGGGTCTTGGATGCCCTCTGAGGGTACCGAGGTCTGTCTAGACTTTATTAACCAGATGGCACCACTTGTCACACCCCTTGGTGAGTATGGAGACCTGGTTCTTTTGCTGTTATCTTGAGATCTGTGTTTCAGCTGATGATCTCTAGGCTCGGTTGCAGTGTTTTCACTTTTTGTCTTGACTCTCTCTCAAGGGCCCAGCCCTCCCTGACTGCCTATACTATTCCTACCTAACTTAGCTGTCTATAACGTATTCACAAGAGTCTGGGGAGCAAACACACCTGTGACCTGTGATCTGTGACCTGTGACCTGTGACCTGTGACCTGTGACCTAAGCAGGTTCATCAACATTTCAAAAGCAGTGTAATCTGCAAAAGTCAGGGATATAGCTCAGCCGCACAGCACCTGTCTGGCAAGCTCAAGGTCATGAGTTAGATTCCCGGACCAAAAATAAAGAAAACACCAAGTCTGTGGCTGCCTTCCCAGCAGATGAACCAGTGGAGACAGAGAGCAGGGTCTCGAGGAGCCTAATAAACCTAGAGGATGTCACCTCTCCCATGGCCATTGCTGCCATTGACTGAGCCCAGAGCAAGCCCTGTGCCAACCGTGCAGTAAACTGGTGAAATAAGCATCAGCACTTTCATGGATGGCAGACACCAATGAATCCACGGTCCACTCATCCTGTCTGCAGAGCTCTCAGACTGCATCCCGAGATGGGGATCACGGATCCATCTGGGCTGCCACCTGGCCACACCAAGGATCACCCCCAGCCACCTTGCTGTCACCAGAGCCACCAAGAAGATGCAAGCCAACCACCCCACCTGTCTGTCACCACCACTGGGTTTCACAAGCCGCTCTTAGTTACCTGCCGCTCACGAGGTGCGGGGAGAGAGCACCACCGTGCTTTTCACCAGCTCAGGCCGGAGACCCCACCACAGCCGCATGGCCCCAGAGGAAACTGTCTCCCAGCCCTGGGCCTCGGCATCCTTGAATCCCCTGCTCCCCCCAGCACATGGCCAATTCCAGCCCTGCTGAGTGGCACAGAGTTGCTACACCAGCTGCCAGCACCCGACTCAGAGCCCCTGGAGGTGGCCGATTCCTTGGACTTCCTCTTCCACTGCTGAATTTGCTTTCTGAGCTTCATTTCTCGAAACCTCTTTTTCTGCTCAACTCCAGACACAGTGCCTTCTAGAAGAAGAGTGTTAACAACTGGCCCCTAATTATGGGCATCATCCCGGCTGTTCCCTTAGGCTCTGTGACTCCCGTGGAAGCGAAAATCTCCCTGTGGGTACAGAGAGGACCAGTGTGGGCCGGAACCTCCCTACCAGACTTCAATGAATCCCAGCTCCACCCCAAGCCATGATCTTTTCTCCACATGTTCTGCTAAAATCTGTTCCTTAAAAATAACCCTGTGGCTAGTAAACCGCCCCTCGCTCAGCCTTCGGCTACGTGAACTGGGTTTCAGGAAGGGGAAGCTAGGTTGCCTAGGAAAACCCCGAACCTTGGGTCACGGTATTCCAGACTCGCATTCCAGATAGATTTCCTCCCACGTGTATGAAGGCTGGCAGGGCCCAGAACCCAGCTGATCATTACACTGGCTCTTAGCAGCTGCTCCCCAGAAGGCTGCCAATGTAGGCCAGGTTTCAAAGGTACACAAAGTTCAGTGTGATTTGGGGCAGTCCTTGGACGCAGTTCTAAAAAAAAACATTTCTCTGGTTACACAGTACCAAGGCATCCTCTTGTGGCCGCTCTGATTTGCCCTATGACGTTCAGAGCAAAGTTTCTCCTGGTTCTTCTTAGGCCCTTATCACCACCGCTCTCTCCCAGGTCAACAAAGACAGGTACTGTTAGAGCTCAGTGGCGGTTTCCCCTGTACTTGCCGCATACATGCTGCTATGCCTTTTATTTGTCGTTGCATACTAGGACGTACCCAGCGAGATCTTGGTTTACATTTGCTGGAATAACAAGAGGTTTTGTTTTGAAATATATTAAGAATATGGTCAGCTGGGCTGGGGATTTAGCTCAGTGGTACAGCCCCTGTCTGGTAAGCATGAGGTTGTGAGTTCAATCCCTGGTACCAAAAGAAAAGGAAAAAGAAAAAAAAAATATGGTCAATTTAAAGAAAAATGTCAAGTAAATTCAGGTGGTGCCTGGATTCACCAAGAACTGGAGATGCAGGGACCAGGGATATGGCTCAGGGGCACAGTTGCTGAGTGGCAAGTTGTAAGTTTGATTCCCATACTAAAAATAAAAAATTAATGATACAATGAAAATTACTGATGTTTGAGAGATCCTCAACTGGACTAATTCTCACAATGAGAGATTCTTGCTGGACGTGGTGGTACGCCCCCATAATCCCAGCATTAGGGAAGCTGAGGCAGGAGAATTTCCAGGAGTTCAAGGCAATTTTATGCCATTTTTCTGAACAGCAAAAAGGCCTGCTGAAAGTGTGGTGAAGTCCCCGATGCCCATCAGCTCCTTCTGCTCCTTTGTGTTCCCTGCACCAGGGTTTCAGCTCCAGAACACAGCCAGCAACCCCAAGCCAAGAGCTTTCTAGGAAGGAAATCAGAGCCACAAACTCAGCTCACTGCTACCACCCAGCACAGGAAGGAGAGCGTTTGAAACCCCAGATGATCTCTTTTTTAAAGAGTAGGAGGGTTTTTTCAGCCTACCAGAGGCAGTATGTTGGCTCCTAAAACTTTTGTAAGTCAGCCTTGAAGAGGTCTGGGTTTTAAATATCATTTGAAGCCCGGTGGCCCATGCTTGCACTCTTAGGCGGAGGTAGGACAATCACAAATTCAAGCCCAACCTGGCCCAACTTCGCAGCTCTTTCTGAAAAACAACAACAACAAAAAAGCAGTAGAATACCAGCTGGGAAAGGCCCAGGTTCACTCCCCAGGACCGCACAATGAAGTATTATTTATTTTGCTGTGCATGGGGTTAAATAGCACCTGACTTTCCCAGAGAGAAAAGACATAATCCCAGCAAAGCAGGGCTATCTGAAAATTCCTGGATGCATGACCATTTTGGAGACAATCAGAAGCTACCAGAAATGCTACAGTCCTTTCCAGGCATACTTTTGTCCCCAGGAAAACATCAGGATGACAAGACGGTAAACAGAGTGAGCAGTCCAATCTGAAGATCTCACGCAGAAAAAGCAGCAGGTGTAGTCCTGGAAACAGAAGCTCACGCAGTCACTGGAGTACGTATTTTGATCAAGTTGGCAGCTGTTTAACCTGCATCCGGGACTTTACTCCTGTGTCCCTCTCTCGCCTACAGCGTACACGAAGCTCAGAGTACTTGCTACTTGAGGGAACTTTCAAGGAGATCCTGAATGCAAAGCACCTGTGCAAAATGTATGCCTCTGAATATCCCCCACCCACTGGGTGTCTTCAACAAGAGAGAAGCAGGATTGGTGTCAAAACACACACAGGGAAGAGATCTTCGCCCGGAATCCGGGAAGAGAGGTACAGAACATCCCTGAACATGCTGAATTCATTTGCAAAGTATTTTGTTAATGGGAGAAGAATTAAGATCTATTAAACAAGTCTCAAGTTGTCTGTAACTACCAACGCCTCCCCTAAAAGAGCTCAGGAAACAAAACGCTCAAAGATGACCTTGCAAGTTGGAACTCATTCATGAGGTGACTATGACACTGACGTTTGCAGAAGGGGTCACTCGCCTCGGATTTGTATGTTCCGGAATGATTCCAGGGAGTAAAATGGTGGTTGGAAGTGGCTGTGCTGGAGCCCAGCCCTCTGGCCCTTCCTAGAGTGTTTCAGCCAGTTGGCAGCTGAGCACAGTGAAAATGGCCTGGTGAAAAAAGCAGACTCGGGGTGTGGGGGTGACGCTGCTTAGGACGGGACAGTGCCTACCTGTCCCTTAAGGGCCATGGGGCAGTTCTTCTGGATCCACTGCCAGAACCGTCCTGGGCTACTCGCCCGCCTCTTCCCTTTATTCCTCAGCCCCTGCAAAATGTGAAAGCGGGGGTGAAGCTTAACCACAGCCAACACTTCCTGGGCTTTCTTTTGGTAGCAACTGCACGCTCCATTTGTACCCTGGCTCCACCTGTGTTTATTTTCCCTTTGTTGCTTTGAAAATACATGACCGATGTTATCGCACATATTTACAGCTGTAGCCACCTCTTTGGAACAAGGTCTACCTAAGCAGGTCAGTGGTCCAGAACTGCCCTCCGGGCTGCTGGCCAGATAACCCTTTGGTTTCATGCATCAATTTCTTATTGATTTTTTTCGGGTTACATCTTGACTCTCGATTTTGTTTTTATCTTCCTTCAGTCAGTCAAAGAGGAATCAGTCCCCACAGGTGCCCAGGAGAATGTAAGTGACCATTCACGACAGAATCATCCCATTCTCATCTCTGGCATGTTGGATCACTGGGCATTTCAACTCTGAGATCCTGTGTTCTTGCATGTTGTGGGTGTCGTTGATCTGCAGTGAGACTCTTTCGCCCTTTCCTAGAATAGAGATCCACTGAGAAATGACGCTGAGTGAAATCGTGTAAATCCCAGGGAGTGATCTGCAAACTGCATGCAAAATCAGAGCATGCTTTCTGATCATTTGTTATTCTGTAGGGGCTGAAAGAGTCTACACACAGAGGAACGACTTTGCCTTTCCTCAAAAGAAATCCATGCTGTTTGGTTGGGCCATGATTGCTCCTACGCCTTTATTTCCATGGTGACCCAGCTTCCTACTAACTTTGGGGGGTGCTCGGGGTGGGTGGCTGCATCAGAGCAACCCACAGCAACAGGAGCTGATGCTTTTGGGCTGGCAAGTTAATTCCGCGGGTGGCTTCACCTCTCTGGTCTCCATTAAAGACAAGACTCTCAGGGTCTTTTGAGTTCTAGAAAGCTGATCAAAATATTCAAGGCCCTGTATTCATGATGCTACAATAGCGTGTCTTTTTGAAAAACATTTTCCAAGGAGATTATTAATAAATGGAAAGCAGTTTTGGGGACAGAAAGAACAGCCATGTTTAGAAAATGGTTTAGATGGAAGATAAGCGAATTCACAGCCTCCCAAGGCAGAAATGGAACATGATCATTTTGCCAAAGCAAAATTCGTCGGGAACTTTCTGGTGTCTCTTGTTGACTCGCCACGGGCAGGGTGTGTGTTTTCATTTTTATTCAGTTACTGGAACAGAGCAGATGTTGAAAATCCAAACATGTTCCAGAAATGTTACCCATGATATGGAAGGAGAATAAGACTGGTTTTGTTATGATTCTCTGCAATCTTTAAAATCTGTTTGCTTCTGTTGTTTACCATTCCCCCTTCCTTTCCTTCTTGAACCTCATGTAGTAGCTTAGCAAAGTGCCTCTAGAGCAGGGTGGCAAACCTCTGGCACACGAAATACTTGTTTTTCTTTTAAGCAGCGATGTTAGTGTGTGAGGTTTTTATTTTCCTAAAGTATCTTGAGTTAGTTGTGGTGCTGGCACGTCGCGGTAAATAAGTGGATTTGGGTTTCAGTTTGGGCACTTGGTTTCGAAAGGGTTCGCCATCACCGCTCCAGTCAAGCCTCAAGACCTCCCGGGACCCGCGTGGGGCCGTCCCCTGAGTCTCTGCCATCGCTTCACAGCTGCAGGGGAAATCCTGAGCATCAGAGAGCTTCGAGGTTCTCAGTTTCTGAAGGGAAACTTCTCTCCAGCAGTGGGGTGGTGTCTGGTGTAGTTGCTTGTCTGAGAGATCCTGTATTTTCTACAGCTCAGATGCTAAAATGATCTGAAAATAGACAAACAGATCTGAACTAGACAAACAGAAGGTGTTTCCTTTTCTAGTGTGAAGCCCGAGACAGAAATACAAACATGATTGAAGCGATAAATTGTGAATAGCAGAAGATGACACCAAAGTTGATAGGGGTAGGAAAGAAGAAGACAAAATATGGCTTAGGAAATAAAGAAGCGTCCTGAACATTCTCTTAAATGGCTTAGCTCCACAAATCACTTTCTATTTTTAAGTATCCACATCTCATCTTTGAATCCCCTCTCCTTCGCCCCTTGGACAGAATGAGGTAGAATAGTCGTCAAATCGACCTCATCACTCCCGAGTTGTGGTACCTCTTCTGCCTCATTTACTCATCTATTAAATGGGGATAATCATGGTACCTACCTTGGTGGTTCTTGGGAAAACTGAATGATGTAATGCATGTATTTCATTGGGGGCCTTCAGTGCCAGCATCCTAGAAAGAACTGAGGAAGCCGTAAGTCAGCAAACTAGAGATCACAGACCAAACCCAGCCCACTTCCTGTGTTTGCATGGCTTACAGAGTTAAGAATGCTTTTTATATTTTTTAATGGATGGGAAGAATAACATTTCATGATGTGAAAATTACATGAAGTTCCAATTCCCGTGTCTACAAAAAAACAGTTTTATTAGTGCACAGCCACACCCACTCCACTGCGTATGGACTATCGCTGCGTTGTGGTCAGGACGGCCAGCGAGGGTGGCCGCCCCTCACAGCCATCGCCAGCCAGGGGGAGGTGGCATCATGAGGCCGTGCTTCCTGGTCCTCAAAACCAGACTGAGAAGTAAAATGTTGTGTCCCAGCCTGTTCGCTGTCCTTGTAGAAGGCAGGAAAGTGTAGAGCAGAGGCAGTTAATTCCCTCCCCTCTGCGTGACCAGAGAGGCCCTTGGTCAGCACCGCACGCTGTGGCACCCTGACCCTTCAGGGCGGGACAGCTGTCTGTGGTTACTGCGCAGATCAACCTCTTAACGATTGCGGGCCAGAGTACGGTGAAGGTTTGTTTTCTTAACTTCTCTGCCTACAAGTTTTCAAAGTCATTCTGCGAATCACAGTGAGCCCCACGTGTAATTTACAACAAGGAAGTTAGGGTGCTTCCAACATTTCCCAGAGTTCTCACGGGGAAAAAGGTTTTACAGCCCACTGAAGTTTAGTGCTTTTCCAAGAATGTGCTCCTGATCCTGCCAGATACAAAATCTCTCTCTCTCTCTCTCTCTCTCTCTCTCTCTCTCTCTCTCTCTCTCTCTCTCTTCCTCCTCCTCCTCCTCCTCCTCTTCTTCCTCCTCCTCCTCCTCTTCCTCCTCCTTTTCCTATCTTATTTCTTCTCCTATCAGGAGAAAGGTCTCCATGTGGCCTCAGTTTTCTGTAAAAAAAAAATATAGATAGATATAGATATATCTTGATTATACCAATTATTGACTCTTTCATTTGTAATCTGAAAATGTTTCAACCATTAGCTAATTGAGTTCGTGTTCTGGCTGATGGAAACATTTTCCTTTCCGATTACCTGTGAGATCAGGGAAGCAAGGGCTTAGAAAGTGACCTTTCAGTTACAAGGGAAAGAAAACCCAGCTCAACCTGGATGAAAAAGCTAAAGGAATTTATTGGCTCTCATCCTCAGAAAATAGAATTGGTTTCTAATAAAGAAGGATTCCTACCTTCCCCTTGGCTCAGCCTTCCTGGCCTGGCCATGTTTTTGGCTTTCCAGCATTACCCAGTCCAGAACAAAGGAATAATTTGTCCACTGCAACTCTACCTGTCTGGGAATCTGTCCTCCTGTGCTGGCTGAAATCTGTTCATCTGCTCCTTTAGTGGCTTGGGCTCAGTTATGTCACAGTAACAACCAGGCTCCAAATTTCAGTGCCTTGAGACATCAAATTCTCTCTCTCTCTCTCTCTCTCTCTCTCTCTCTCTCTCTCTCTATCTCTCTCTGTCTCTGTCTCTCTCTCTCTCTGATTCTCTCTCTCTCTCTCTCTCTCTCTCTCTCTCCCTCCCCCGCCTTCTCTCTCTCCATGAGTCAGCTTCTCTAAGCTGATGGGTGAGAATCATTGCTGGATGGCAGAGAAAATATTTAAGGCTATGTAAAATCAAATAGTCTCATTATAAAAACCTTGAATAGAGATTCTGTGATGTGGGGAAAGTTTCAATGGATGATATTTATTTTGCTCTAAATTAGTTTTCAAAATTCACAGACCAAGTAAATTGCACAAAACACATCCAAGAACTAGTACAGGATAAAACTTGACGCAGTGTACTGAGATGTACGTGATTCGTGTTACACACCCACACCCTTTACGCAGTGTGCACCGTCTCCCCTCCCCAGGTTCATCCAGGGAGATTTCCTTCTAGACTACAGCACCAAATAACAATGCAGTGCAAATCTGACTTTAATTATATCTATCAAACCCAAAACTAAATTGTGCAGATGCAGTCAGATATTCTAAATAGGGAACAACTTTTTCCAAGGCTGTAGCCTGGAAGGAAATCCAAGTAAAAATTGAAATCTTATGTCTACGCATGCAAATTAGAGCCATATTTAGTCCAAATTGTTCTGGGTTTCCACGCCGGATGTCAGTGGATTTTCCTTGGCTACTGAAAGCCAAGTTCTTGGCCAAACTTCAAAGCTGATGGAAGTCAAGAGAAGCCCAATTTATTTTGCTCACTGAAATAGTTGTGTTGTAGAGAATGGACTTGTGGCCTAGAATTTATGAGTGGACACTGCTCAGGTTTCAGAAAGTCCTAGCAAGGGAATCATTGTCATTCAAGTAAGGTTACTGTCATACAATCTGATCATTTTATTATAGGTGTAATTTTTCGCTCCAGCTTATTTAGAGTCAGAGCAGTTCTGAAGCCAGAATCTGAAAGTCAGTATCTGTTCCACTTAACAGCCTTCTCCTGTTCTTTCTCCCTTCTTCTCCTGATGATGGGCTAGGTTGATAACTGTCACCTCCCAAGTATTTGATCACGACCGATCTAAACCAGTAATCACATTTTCCTCACCAATAGTTGGCGCAGGACTAAAGATGGGACCTGGCTATGACCAGTGAAATTTCTGAAGTAGGGAATCAAAATCCAGAAGATACATTTGAAGTGAATCTTGTACTGCGGTCTCCCATCTGTTTCAGGACACTGAGTTGAGGCCTGGAATTCTGACAGCTATTTTATGACCATGAGGTAATAGCCAAAGGAGGATGCTACAGATGGCAGAGCCAAAACTCTTAGAGACATTTTCAAGCCACTGGGGGAAAAACAACCCCAAAACATCCTGCTTTCAACATCTTGTTCCCTGTCCTCCCTGGAAGATCCACAATTGATATTCAGTTGTGGGCAGAGGGCTCGCTGCAAAATGGGTAGACTGTTGTCTCCCCTGAGCTGTCTGCGACACTGTTTTCCGAGGTTATATGTAAACGACCTTGTGCAGGCCTAGCCATCGTAAGAGGTAGTTAACAACAGAAGCCCCTAACTACTGGGCTTATGTGTGACAGGTGATTCCAGATCACTTGTGCTCATGCAGTAAATAAATCTAAGATTAACACAAACAACAGCCCCTGGTACTAATTGCGCTGGGCTCTGTGCTAAGAACCAGATGTGTATTACCTAATCTGATCCCCAGGACAGCTTTCTGATGTGTGTCCAAAAGCATGGGCACGCCTCGCACTGATTTTAATTTAAGTTCCCCAGGGGATGAAGACAAGATTTGGACCCAAGCAGTGGCTCCGGAGCACGTGTGTGATAACAGCCTGCATCCCAGGCTCAGCCCAGGGGCTCTTGTGGCCTCTGCTCATTTCCCAGAAATGCAATCGAATTAAACCAGGCCTAGACCTGGAAATCCACAGTGACCACCGATCCTGTCTCTTACTTGGCTGAAGTCTGGTGCGGGCTTCCCAGAGCTGGCCTGGGATCGACCACAGCCCAGCTGGCCAGGCTTCCTTAGCCAGTCCCGTGTCTTTGTTCCGATTCTTCAGATGGGACGACTCGACACAGTTCACAACAGCTCTTACCCTATTTGTCTTTCTCTGAACTCTGGTCAGTCTGTGCTGATGTCCCCTGCTCTCCCCCCTAAGGACTTTTGAGTTTATAGCCACCTGCTTTAGATCTTCGGTTACAAAGGGAAGGTACTAGACATCAGGTCCACCCCATAAGAACGGGAGGCCAGGCTTCTGCTGTGATTCACCAGCCCAACTGTGGGATGCTCTGCTGGGGTCTGTTGCCGGGTACCTGTCTGTGCTGGTTAACAACACGGAGATTAAGGTTCTTCTCTCTCTGGGAAACCGGGGTCATTTGGAAACCACTGCTATACTCTGTATGAAGAAAAACAGAAGGCTGTGCTCACAGCACTCGGTAGTTTCGGGAATCACTAGATCAGTCCCCTCCCCACCCTGGCCCTGAGAACAGGGCTCCCGGAAAGCCAGAGTCTGGCGCTGTGGTGCAGAGACACAGGCAAAAACACCTTTGCCTCTGCCGTTCCCTCGCTGGAGGCTGGAAATGGAAAATGCTTGGCCAGAGAGTAAATACTCGAGGCTTTTGTAGGCCATTTTTATTTTGTTTCCACTCTGTACTTCTCATCTTTAAAAATACAATTTATGACCCTTTGGAAATGTAAAAACCATTTTTAGCTCAGGAGCCAAATGAAACAGGGCACGGGGCTGGATTTGGGAGCAGTCTGCCAACCCCGCCTGAGGAAGCAAAGGAAACTGTGAAACCCTCCAGAGTCCAGTAAGAGCCACAGGCACAGATACGAATGCAGCGGCTAGACCGGCGGTGACCGGGCCCACATAAATGGCGTGGGGCGATGCCAGGGCCCAATCTCTGGAGGTAGCGGGGTACAGGGAGCCTGCGTCCCCACCTCGGTGCTGGCCAGCCTTTGGCCTCCCAGGGGGCTCGGGACGCACTGAGCTCAATGTGTACCTTGAGGGGCCACTACTCTGGGCACGTTTATTCTTCTGAGAGTGCAGACGCCGCTAGGTAACAGTGGCACAGGGCTGGTGCACCGGGCAAGGAGTAAATGAGGAAGGCGAGCACAGCCAGGTGGGTGTGGCACACTCCTCGCTGCAGAGAGGACGGTCCACCATTACCAGGGGCCTAGCATGAGGCACGGCAAGGGCCGCGGTCACTGTCTCTAAGGCTGACCTCAGGACAATAGTGACTTCTGATTCCTGTGCGTGCCGAGTGGACAGCGCCTGAGTGCCAGCTGTCCAGAGGGGACTTCCCTCTGCATCCTTCATGGAGAAGGAATCTGCCCCTCCATGTCAGTCTGTCTGTCCGTTGTTCAGTAGCTGGCCACCTGGCTCTTGGTCCAGTAGGGCGTTGCTACTCAAAGACGAGGCTGTGTAGAAACCAGAATGAGAGTCAGTCCTGGGGGACAGGGTACAGGGGACAGCCGGGATTCCCTCTGTAAAACACGTCCTGGGGGAATGGACTTGGGGCTTCCAGGGTTTTCCTGGTTTTGTTTTCTGTTTTCCTTTTTTGTTTGTTTCTTGTTTTGTTTTTCATTTTCTTAATACCTGGCAAAATGATCCAGGTGGTGTGCGAATCACCAGTAGAGACTGTAAAGTCTGAGGAAGTAGAGTCACCCTTGCAAACAGCGGAGCTCAGTGAGGAGAGAGGCACCCCGCCTGCACCCGCAGACACCAAAGGCAGGAGAGAAGGCCGGCCGCGGAGGACCTCCCTGATGGCGCTTCTCAGACAAGTGGTAAGCCGCTTTTTGTGGGCAGGGGGCACAGCTGGCTCGGTTTCTGAGGACAAAAGACGATGCCAAGGCGGGTGTGAGATGCGGTTTCAGGTGACAAGCACAGGACAGGGCTGGAATATGATGAACTGTGCACCGAGAGATGCGTCCTGTCCTCAGGATTCGGGCACAGAGAGAGTCTCAGCTGATTACCCATATTCTCAACCCCTCTGTAACGCTGGATCAATCCCTTGTCACTAAAAAGAGTCAGCCTTGGGTCCTAGCTGAGAGCAGCCGCCTAGGGAGCAGTGAATATATTGCTTACTTTTAATTATTTTTAAAATCTCCTTTGGTTGGTGGCAGAAGGTGCTGCTCTTCCCAATACGAGCATGAAAAGACCTTGTTTTTTTTTTTATTTTTTTTTTTTATTTTTTTATTTTTTTTTTTTAATTTTATTTAAGGAGAAAAGAAAAAAAAGCAGAGAAAGGGTACAAGTTATACAGATTTGCAGAAAAAAAATGAACAGTAGGAAATCACTAGTTAATGGATTACATATTGTCATCTTAGAAATAATTGTTTAAGTCACAAAATTAAAGCTTGTAAAGTGAACATTCCATCAATGATACTGCAAACAGTTCTGTTCAATGATCCAATAAGACTCGGTGATATCATTTTCTATCTTATACACTTAAATATACATGCAGTTATATAGTATAGAGCACTTTCTTTTCCTCTCTTTTGTACAATGACTATTACACATTTTGGGTTTCATTGCTCCCATGGTTCTTATTACTTTTTTGGAAGAGAGTAAAACCAAATGTGATATAACAGAACAGAATCGGTCAAGTCAAAAGGGTGGACATAATAGATAATGTGAAAACATAATACAAGGTGATCAACAATGGTTACCATAATGCCTCCCGCTATCTCTAATAGAATTGCCTATATCATTAGTTACAATACAATTGAACAAAACAGTAAAGAATAAAACCGACAAAACCAAAACATTGGAGACATTGTAGGAAAAGACCTTGTTTTTGAAAATTCTTGTACTTACATAGAGAACATAAGCCATGTTGTGCCCCCAAATTATGGTAACAGACACTCCAAAGGTGACATGTGAGGAATGCATAGTTACACAAAGGTGACATGGGCCACTCAGACAAGCACATGACAGCACAGCGTTCTCCTCATAACCATGTCCTTGGCTTTAGTTAGAGAATTTTCCGTGCTTTTGATTTGCATAGAATGGAAAGAGTGGGGGGGGGCGTCTATAAGAAGTGATGTACATTAAGATTTTCATACACTGAGGTAATACAGTGCAACACAACCTGGATGGCAAAAAAATAAAAACTCAGGTAAAAGATTATTGATCTAATTCTCTTTTAATGAAAAAACAAGAATTTCATTATAGCGTGCCTTTATTTCTAGGAGTACTGGGGAGTTTAATCCTTGAAGAAAACAGTTCTCTAATTTCGTAAGATCAGCCTGTTAAAGGAGCTCTTTCTGTTCCACAAAACAAAACAAAACCCTTGCCAGTAGGAGCAGAGACACATTAAAAGGAATTCTGTTAGCAACTGTTGGCAGGAATTATTTTCTTCCTGTTGGATTCTCATGGAGTGAATGGCATTTAAAGAGTTGGGGGAACTCTGAATGAGCCCTCATCTGCACTGCTGGCTTTTTGCTGTACAATTAGGTGCCTTTTAAATCAATTTTTCCATTATGCCAGGAAAAAAAAAAAAAGAACATTGATCCTGCTCCTGGCCCTCAGCTCCGTGACAAACGGAATCCTCCAGCAGCTCATCACAATCCCGAGGGCAATCAGCTTTTCTCTTCCCTTATCGTTGAGAAATATGAGGGCAGGAGCAAATAGAGTGATTCTTCCAAACGACCCCCATGTAGCCCACTTAACTTAAAAGAGGGTAAAATGGAAGAAACTCCAAATAAAATGTGCAAAAACTCTAAGCCGCTCACGACATCTGTCCCCAACAAATTCTTATATTTGGATCATTTAAATTGACCCCCCAGAGCTGCTACTTTCTAACAATGGAAACTGAAGAACTCTGAATGGTTGAGGTGTATTTTTTTTTAAAAAATGAGCAAACAAATAGTGATTTACAACTGTAATCTCAGAACTTGGGAGGCTGAGGCAGGAGGATCCTTGTGAGTTGGAGGCCAGCCTGAACTATGTAGTGAGTCCCTATCTCAGAAAGAGTCTCCTAGAACTGGCTCATAGGATTCAGGAGGTGAGTCAGCCTTCCCGGGGAAAGCCCAGTGGATTCAGTGGATTACTGTGTCCGTGGCTTCATGGCCGATGTTCTGAGAACACGAATGTTGTTTTTCCTTTCTGATGTTTGAAAGCTGCCCCCAAGCACCTGTGATTGTGGGGATTTCCTCTGGAATCTGGATTTCCTAAATGGGGCCTATTGGCTGAAGCCCAGGCTGAAGCCTGAAGCCCAACATTGTAATTAGTTCCCCCATGCAGCAGGCATGGGGTTCCCAGTTTACCAACATCCCACTGGTCCCTGGGGCCACGCTGGCCGTGCTGGCCCATCCACGTTAGGAGCCACCACCCCTAGGGTGTGCGACCTCTGGTCCTGAACTGGCTCACGCTTTATGCTCATGTCTTTCACATGTACTCTGCACTCCGACTGACTCTACTCTGTGGATAGCTGGTTTTTAGATGTCTTTTGCATTTGGTTCATTTGATTGTTCAACCAGGAATTCCTGAGTGTCCGCTGTATTCCAGGCCACACTCTGTCCTTGGGGCAAGAAAACCTGCTGAAGAACCCGGCCACTTACTCTGTGGCTCTTTCTGTGTCACCTCCGTGCCTTCTCCCATCCCCTCCCTGCCCCACAGGCTGGGCCTCAGAGGCTCATTCTTAGGCTCAGGTCCCCACGTCCCCCCACCGGGTTCCTAGACGGCACGGTGCCAGCAATTACCTTCAGGAAATGCTTTTTGGTAACACGTTCACTGCTTCCAAATTGATTTAGAGTTTTGAGTTTCTGCAGGATGGGATCGGGGAAGTCTGCTGTCTCGGGTCTTGAAAATAGAGACCACAGCTGGGCCACTACGAGAGGTTTGGGAGGAGAAGGGGTTCCAGGCCATGAGTGGGTGCTTCGAGCTAAATTTAGGTGCTGATAGCAAAATCTGCTTTGTAAAAAACTATTATTTAATAGAGAAGAAAGCTCATCTGCAAAACCTCTGTTTTGAGGGTTGGGGATTTAGCTCAGCAGCGTAAGCACCTGCCTTGCAAGCAGGCAGTCGTGAGTTCGATCCCTGGTACCGATAAAAAAAAAAAAAGACCTCTGTTTTGTAACTCAGGCTTTTCTTTCACTAGCTCATTTATTTGCTAGCCTGTCTCTTCAGACAGGTTGTTTTGTTTTCCCAGATAACATATTTTAGTATCCTATGACAAAGAAACTCTCAGTTTGGTTTTTTATTTTCCCAGAATAGATGCTTTGCCTGATGCATTGCTTAAGAGATCATTTTCTTTCCAGATGTTAATTTAAAATAAAAGTAATGTCTTTTTCAAATATTTCAGGTCCAATTTCAGGTCAAAGAAAACAAAGAAATTAAGGCCTAGCATTGCATTTAATATTTGCAAAAAATTCTGCAAGTTTCTACTGGATTCCAAAACAATTACAAGGAACATCTAAGACCTCTGTCATGCCTTAAACAGAACATGGTTCTCAGGCAGATTAATGCAAGAATATTTTTATAAAATGAGTGGGCCGAGTACTGTGTTCCTGCATCCACCGACCAGGTAGAGGGATTTGAACTCACAAAGGTGGTGGGCAGAAACATATATTTTATATATATATATATTCAGATTTAGAATTTGTCAGTATAATAATACCTTGCATTTACAGCGTGCATTCCTCCTCCAAGCTATTTTTCACATTTCTACTTCGTTTAATCCTCTGCTTGGCTCCTGCTTTGCACTGTAAGTTTTACAAGAAAAGCCTGGTGGGGTAACATTCTCCGGGTTAGTGAAAGAGTCAGCTTCATTTGAGACCAATAAAAGACCCAAATTCGGAGACAGCCAGGAAATCAGAGGGGGTTGGTTGACTACACTGCATCAAATAAGTTTAATAAAACCCTGTGAAATTTACTATCTAGAGGGGGAAAGAAGGTTATTTAGAATGGTAATGATTAGACAAAACGCAAGTCTCCTAGCCAAAGTTCTTGATCTTGTATTTTTCCCAGGTATGAAAATATTCATACCAATTTGCTCTTTAAGGTTCCTGAAAGTAGCATTTATTGGGATTTCTGAAAGAGCCATTTATTTGAGCGATTTGGGTCTCTCCCAACAGCGTGCACTCTCTCCTACCTAACAGGGGCGCTGTGGTCCCCTGGCAGTGCTAGCGATCACCATCCTTGCCCCCAGATGCCCTGGCACTTAGGACGCAGTGGGCAGCATGCTAAGCACATACACATTATCTCATCCGTGCTGGTAGAAATGCCAAGAAACCGCACCTTCACGGCCACCTCCCTGCGAGGACCGGCCTGGGAGACCAGCAGGGTGTCAGCAGTCCGCCCACCGCCTCAGAGCTGCCCACTGCAGAGCCAGAATCCAGCCGGGCATTTGTTCTGCTGTCACTTTTTGTTTGCAAAGCTCAGCTTCACTCCTGAGTCACTGCTGCCGTCTCAGCCTCAGCCGCCTGCGTCCTCTGAGAGCGTCTGGAGACGGGAACTACAAGCCCACCTCTGTGATTTTCTCAGTATTGTGTTCTGGAAGCATCACTTTTGTGTGTTGGGTTTTTGCCTTTCATCTAAAATGACAGCAAGGCAAAACCAGGAAAGTTATACATAACTTTGGTAAAACTTGGGCATAGGTTTCCTGAACATATTTGTCATTAAGTGAAACCTACCTCAGCCGCCCTAATTACTGCAGCTCCGTCTCACGGCAGCTTTGTGGCAAAGCACAAAACTTGGATTCTCAACCTGTGTAGACCCTCGAAATTTCCAGTGAGTCCGGTTCCCTGGGTGTGTGCGTCTGCTAAACAATACTGCAGCGAGGCTTACGCTGCATTAAAATTTCATCTCAACTTTCCTTCTCTTTTGGTTGAATTAGATTGTCATCAAAATGTACTAAAATTTCTCTCAAAGAAATGTGAACGGACCACTGAATATTTCTGTTAGAATTTTAGTGTCTAAGTAATAGCTATTGAAAATGGTTCCGATGTTCCTCAGAGTTATCAAGCTATTATGACTTCATTAATATGTAAGGCTGGGACGTTCCCAGGGGAGTCCATCTCAATCGCAGGCTAAACACCGGAGCCCCTTGTTTTGATTCTCAAGTGTAAAATAACCCAGGACGGTCCTCGGTGTTGCACTGGAAAATCTCAGAAATTATTCGATAGTCTTCACACTGCCCTTCAAAGTCCTGAACAGTCTCTGAAGGAATTTTCGTCTCTTTAATCAGTAGCTTTGCTCTTTCTGACAGCTCGTAAAAATAAGCCCTTGTGGTTATTGATAGGACAAAGAAACTCCCAACCTGCTGTATGTCTGAACAAGTTCTTGTTCTCTAAAATTGAAGAATGAATTTTCAGAACAGCGGAGATTAAGAGCAGAGTATATTTATTGGAAGAAAGAAAGGTTCTATCTGAGAGAGAGACAGAAGGGGTCCCGAGCGGGTTGCCAAAGACTGTCTTTTCTAGGGACTTTTATGGCGCAGAACCCAAAGTGGGGAGGTCTAAGGTGGGGAACACTTGGGAACTCGCAGCGGGGGGCAGGAGGTGGGTCAGAACTGTGGCCGACCAATGAGATTAACTGCTCAGCTCAAATTGGTTAAATCGGGGACAAATGGGGAAGCGAGGTACGCAGCAGTGGGCTTGAATAAAGAGCAGGGACCCTTCCTCTAGGGGGCTGGGATGGTGACTCCTGGCTTCCTCGGGGTGACAGAGGCCTATTTAGAACATCGATTCCTGATGTTTGGCCTTAGGAAGTATGTGAGTACATCTGATTTATCTTTTGTCTTGAGGTCTGGCCCACAGTGAGGTGCCTGTCTCCCCACAGTTATAAGGCATCTCATCTTCTGCACCGGCTCCTTCAAGGGCCCAGCCCTGTCTGACCACTGATAATATTTCTGTCTAACCCAGCGGCCTACAATGATGGTTATGATCCTTCGAATAACAAAGTCCGATAATCAAGCTCCTGAGTTTCTTAAGTTTTTAAGAAGCCCTGTTTAGGGCCCTGCAAAAGAAAGAGAAAGAAAGAAAGAGAAAGAGAGAGAGAAAGGAGGGAGGGTAGGAAAGGCTGTCACTGATGGAAAGGACGGTGGCAGAGAGGCCGAGTGGGGCACGGCAGGACCTCCGTGGACGCCCAGCCGTCAGGTTGGTTAGCTCACAGCTCTCTACGCCTCACAGTGAACAGCAGAGAGCAAGCACTGGCCGCGGTGAGGTCTCGGCTTCTATTTTAACTGGCTTGGACGGTGCAGCCCTCCTCCTGACAGCCTGGAGGTCCGTTTTCCTGCTGCCAATGTAGCATAATTTAAATTCAAGCCAAATTCTCCTACCAAAAGGAAGGGGGGGGGAAGCAAATTAGAACCCTAAGCTGGCCAGGTCCCTAGCCAGCACCAAGCTGGGACAAAGGAAAGGAGTCCAGCATCCGTCTCTCTGGGAGGGCGCAGAACAAAGTCCTGTGCTCCCCAGGTGTGGGGAAGGGCTGGCATAACTCTTGGTGTTCCTACAGGTTTTGCTTGAAAGCTGTTTTGTTCATTTGTTTGATTTTTTTGCCACTCAAGATTCCCCACAGTTCAACTCATGCAGCCCGAAGCCGTGGATGGGTTTGGGTAGAAAGGGCTTTTAGGGTGCAGCCTGAAGCCCGGAGCTGAACACCCCCAAGGGGTCAAAACCCTGCAGAACTCAGACCTAAGGAGTCCGTTTGTGTTCTCAACCCTCCCAAGCTGCCTAGGCCTGGAGGAAAGAAAAACCACTTTCCATGTTAATGGTCTAAATTTTACATAGAGGACACACTGATCCTTATCTGCCTTTGGGGTGAAAACCAGGATGGATCCAAAAGCCGGTTCCTCTACAAAAACAACCCCGAGCAGATAGAGACCTCTTCCTCCCTTCCTAACCAACCAAGAAGCATCGGGTTCTACCCACACCAGGCTCCAGGGACTGCTTCTGACAATAGTGCCCTACTCAGTTCCATCAGTCATGGTCCTAGTAAAGACTTCCCGTTTGGGGCAGAGCACCAAGAATATTTAGAGAACACTTCCCTTGAGGACGAGGTGGTCCCACCAGCAATCTTACCTGAGATTTATCAACCTCGACTTTTTCCAAGCTTTTCCCGTTTTGCTGACTCCAGCATTTCATAATTTCATGCTCAATAATCGTATGCTGATTGAGTAGCAAACTGCTCTCTCCAGGGGCAAACCCTGGCTCTCTCCCTCTCATCCCAAGACCCAAGCTGGAGCCTCTGAGCTTCTCTCTTACCATAAAATCAGGAAGATAACCAACCTGCTCAGTTAAGGTTTCCATAGGATGAGTAATCCTGTAGGTTGTTGTACTGGTTAGCACAGTGCTTGGGGCTTAAGAAGCAGTCTGCTAACAGCCTTTGTAAATAATAACTGTGATCATCTCTGATGAGCACCATAACTCAGATAACCGAGCGCCTAATATCAGTCCATCAAAATGTGTCTGAGCACCTTCGAGGCTACGGATTTGCGCTTTGCTGAAAGATGGGCTCAGATGACGCCGTGGGACTGGAAGAAGGGGTTAAGTGAGACCCTAACACTCAGGGATGAGACTTGAGTTGGTTTCACGGAAGAGAAGTAAGTGGTTCTTCAGGTTGTTCCTGCATCGAGAACCAGGCGTTTCTAAGTGCATAGGGGAACTACAGTCCCCAGGACTGGCTGAATTGGTCTGTATCTGTTAAGCTTACAGCAGGGATGTGCAAAGTCCAGGTTTTCTCAGAACTGTGCAAGAGGCTTGATGAAACATTGCTTGTAGGGTACAGGGGTGCCCCATGCCTGTAATTCCAGCACCCTGGGAGGCTGAGGCAGAGGACTGCCAATTCCAGCCCAGTCTGCGCAATTTAGTAACTTAGTGAGAACCTGATAAAAATAAAAATTAGAATTAAAATTAAAGGGGTAGAAAAGTGCCCTGAGTTTAACCCTCAGCACTAAAAAAAATAAAAGTAAAATTAAAACAGATCACTGAGACCCAGCCCCAGAGTTTCTGACCCACTGAGCCAGGCGTGACTATCAAAATTTGCTTTTCTAACAAGTCCCCAGGTGAGGCTGATGCTGATATTTTCTGAATCATTAACTCAGTGTGGGATTTAAAGACTCAACGCAGAGAATTCAATCCCATGCAATGCTGTTATGGTTGCCATCAGATATAGGGGGCAGGAAAGGGTGGAAAACAGGACCTCTACCGTCACTTCAAATCCCTACTAGGGAAAAATACAAAAAAAACACCAGCCACCTGAATCGTGCCACTGCGGGTGACTCCTGGTCCTCTCCGTGCTGGTTTATTCCGTGTGCTCCCGGCTCGCACAGTGGTGTTTTCATCACCGTGTGTTTCCTCCAGAAATGTCTAACCCCGTGTTTAGGGTGCTTGCTGCTGGTCTTAGGGGAGGGCCAGCAGCTGAATTTCATCAGATCTGGTCGCACGTTTGGGAATCTGGACAGCTCACGCGTACGCTAATACATTTCCAGTTGCTCTGTCCTTTGTGTTGAGCACGAATCTCAAGAACAAATGACCAGGGTTGTCCACTGCAGAATTCCCTCGCGGTCTCCGAATTCACTGTGCTGGGGGAGCTGAAAAGCCGTTGTCTGTTTGTTGTTTTAGTCAGTGAGAGGGGATGGAGGGATCAGCCACTCGGAAAAAATAAATGGGAAGGACTCCGACAACCAAGTAAGTGACCCTGGACGCAGCCGGTGGTGGGTTCGCTGGCCTGATCTCGTTTCTTCCTCTCTCATTTTTAACGCACTCCTCAGCCTCTGCCAATCACGGAACATCTCCAGAGTAAGCGCCCACTGTGCTCCTGGCCCGCAGACACGCACGTGAACAGGTTAGGGTTTATCCCCTTCCCGCAGGCTCCCCCCTCTTCTCCCTGTGGGAATTCCTCCTCTGTCCTTAAAGAGACCGCCAGGCCCCTCATTGCCTGCTACATCTGGTTTTTCTTTTTGCTTCATGGCACAAGTCTCTTCTTATAATGACACTGATAAGTCCTTTTGGGTCTGAGTCCCACATTTACGATCTCATTTCATTTTAATTCCTTCTTTATTCCAAATATAACCTGTTTGGTGCTGAGGGCTTCAGCATCCCAGTTTGAGAGCACGATTCGGGCCATCACAGTTGCTGTCTGTTGCTGTTTGCTGCTGTGAGGGCATCACCATCTACACCCATCACACACACACATGCGTGCACACACCACAGCACACACCACAGCACACTCCCGTGCATGGCGATGACTTTCCTAACACCTCATAGCATCTCTATTTCCATGCTGATCAGTTGATGCTATCTATGATTTTTCCTGCTTGCATTTTTTTTCTTTTTTAACTTACACCTGTGCCTGCCCCCAAACCTATGCTCTAGACCACTTTGGAAGCAGAATTTCCAGGCTGGCAGGTAGCTCACTGGTAGAGCACTTTCTTAGCATGCACGAGGCCCTGGGCCCCATCCCCAGGGCCCAAACTCCTTCCCAAGGTTACAGCTGTGGTAACAGGAGAAACTTACTTTGTGTTTTGTCTGGAATCCTAGATGACACAGTGTGCTGATGACTGTGGTATTAAAAGCAAACAATCTGGAAATCTCGTTCTCCTCACACTCCCCCTGGGATGCCCTGAGAGTCTGAGACCCCTTCCTGGGGGGCTCTGTCTCCAAGGGCTTTGAATCCCAGCTTGGGAAGACTGATGTCTTCACTGGGAGACTTAGTTTGATTTGGGTGTCAGGAGTGGACACCCTGCGTTTCTTTGGGATTTACCTCTTAGGGTTATAAAAGGCTTAGTTGGTGTTTCTAGGACAGGGAGCTCTGGGCACTCCTGGCCTCCAGTGGCCTCTAGAGTCTCAGGCAAATTGGGAAGTGCTCGTGAGCTTGTTCCTATAACTTCCTGCCAGCACCACTGGGTTCCGAGATTCCCCAAGAAGGTGCCTAGATGAGTCAGACCCCGAGCAGGTGTTTCAACCCTACAAGAAGGGGCCAGCTCTTTCCAAGCCACTGCCAAGCCCATGGAAGCCTGATGGGAAGGGACAGCCTCATCCCACAGAGCTCCAGGGAGAGCTGCTGGTTCTGGGTGCCTCCCACCTCCCATCCCCATGGTTTGGGAAGGAAAATCCTGGAAGCAGCGGGAGGGTGGGCCCTGGATGGTCATTCAGCACAGCTTGGGGGCACCCTGCTTTAGGCAGCACTGCTCCAGGCACTGACAAAGTAGTGAGACCCCAGTGCCAGGACCGCATCTCCCAGGAGGTAGAGTTGGAACAGAGATTGTAACACAGTGCCACTCAAGCAGCCGCACACACCTCAGTCCCAAGCTCCGGGAGGCTGAGGCAGGAGGATTACAGCTTGGAGCCCATTACGCCATTTAGTGACTTAGCCAGACCCTGTCTCAACATTTTTTTTTAAAATATAGGAAAAGGTTAGGGAGGGGGTAGTTCAGTGCAAAGACCCTGGGTTCAATTCCTAATGCCAAAAGAACAAAAGCAAAACTAAAAACCATCCAGGGTCTATGAAGTCAAGAATCCAGAAGGAAGGGAGGGTACATGGCTCGGTAGTGGGGACAGAAGGGACAGGGACAGGAGTGGCACGGGGACTTCATCTCTCACATTGGACAGTACTTTGCTGTGCCCAAGGCACTGAGAACCACACGGTATCCAGACAGAGGAGCCGCTGGCGAAGGTAAGGAGGTGAATTAAGCCGGAGCCGTGCGTCCCTGGGAGCCAGGGAAGGTTCCTGACTGCAGAAGTGTCCCTTCCGTGCCCTGGGGTCGCCTCCCTCCTGGACAAGCCAAGATTGTAACGCAGTGCCACTCAAGTGGCTCCCTGGACACTGGCCTCTCGCAGGCCCATGTTTTCTGCCCTGTTCAGTCCTCACCATGCCACGGTTTCCCTGAACGCTCCGGACACAAAGGGGCAGCTGAGAGACGGAACAGTGGACCCCGGGCCACACAGCAAGGGCGCATGCAGGTCTCCTGGGTTCCGCCCGCCAGGTCTGAGCACCTGTGTGGAGCCTGAGAAGGGACTGCAGCTCCTGCCTTCTGGGGAAGGAGCTTGGTGGCAGGACTGGAGCTGGCATCCTGGGGGACATCTGTCTGTCCCCACTGGGCCGTCTGTGGCTCAGCCTTTGCTGTGGCTCCACAGCTGGGCTAGACAGACGCGTGCAAGGCAGATGGCTTCTCGGGTGATGGGGACGCTTCCCTGTCAGGAGACTTCTGTCCCCCGGGGAGCTGTGACCCGAAGCCCCCTGCAGGGCCCAAGTCTTCTCTCTAGTTTCACTCCTTTCTAAGGGCTCACAGACACAAGGCGACCGTTCTTTGGTTGGTGCCTTCTCAGTCAAGGCTGTGACTCTGTCACAGAGGCTACTTCTCTGGGCCCCGTGCCTGACTTCATAAACCAAACACTGTCACTCTAAACCCAGTGGCTCCGACGCAGCCCACAGGGGTTTTAGGCTCCAAGTGTTTCCTGGAACCAAGGCTTTAAAATTTTTGAAGTCAGTTTGTTGTTTGTTTGTTTGTTTTTGTCTTTTGGAGACAGGGTCTCGCTATGCAGTTCAGGCTTGCCTTGAGCTCACTTTGTACCCCAGGCTGGGCTCGAACTTGAAAGGATCCTCCTGCCTCAGCCTCCCAAGTGCTATACTTATAGACATGTACCACCATGCCTGGCTCTGAAGTCAATATTTTAAAACTGACATATTTTCCTTTTTTGTTTTTTAATTTAATTTCAAGTTCTCATTGAAAAGACAGCAGATGGGCGGGCACCGGGCTCGCAGGCTGCAGGGCATCTCCGGATGGCCCCGGGACCAAACATGTGACATGCGGTTCCCAAGTCCCTCCTCTCCCATTTGTCTCCCAACACCAAAAACAGCCTTACTGGGACCACTGCTTTCTCACAGATATCGCCCTGGGCCTGCGAGATCTCCTAGCTGCGGAAATCAGATCTCCGTGTGATTATTTTTACCCCAGTCCTCTGTTTGGTCTGTCTGTCTGTGCCTAGCAGGCATTTGAATTCAAGTAAATTATGAGCAAAAGCTTCCTCCTTCCTAGCAGGTTCGATTCGATGCAATTTGATCTGATTCGATGTGACTGGATTTTCAGATCTGTCGATCCACACTTTACATTTTGCATTTTTTTATTTGTATAATTTCATCCCTCTTGATTGTAGGAACCACTCTGAATGTCTCAGTCAGACTTGCACATTCAACTAAGTATGCTCATCTTTCTATTTTACTTTTATTTTTTAACCACCGTTTCTTGAAGCAGAAGCCCAGCTTAACACCAAACGTTCAGGCAGCTGCCATCAGGAGAGGAGCGTGGGCCTCCCCAGGAAAGAGCCCGCAAAGCTGCTCAGAGCTGGCTCCCTCCTGGGACAGCCAGGCAGGCCTCCTGAGCACACAGACACCGCTGTCTTCTTCCCGATGCCCTGGTTGGTTCTGCTTTCTGCAGGGCTCGCTTCCTTTTGGGGATCACGTTCCCTGGAAACGGCCTTGGTGCTGGAGCTCCAGGCTTACGTTTCCACAGCCTTAAAACAGACGGGCAGGGACCGGGCCTGCCTCTTGATCATCTCAGGGAAGCTTGGTGACAGCCTCAGCTCCTAGCTGCTTTGGGGTCCCCTGAACCTGCTGTACCCCAGTCTGGCCAGAGCCACACTCCCTTTAGCAGAGATAGAATCTGTTGGCTTATAGCACACAGAATTCACAGGGGAGAAAGGGGGACTCCTGTAAAAAAAAATCCAGTTTCTAATACAAGGTAAGGGGAAAGGCAGCCTGCTAGGAAAGCACAGAATTAATTCATCAGCTATTAATTAGGTCAGTGGGTGTCCTGCCATGCATGACCTTGCACTGTTTCCTTTTTATTTTTTAATTTTTCCGTTTGACCCAACTCACAAAAATATAGCAAGCATTCATCTGAACATCTCTGCTCTAACATATTTGCTCCCCGGCCTTGAGAATAATCTCGCAGCCACTAAAAACGGGCTTTGTCTCAACTTACCGTAGACATCCAACCCCACGGAGAAGGCCCCCACGCCAAAGGCCACCACGCCGCCACCAGAGCCGGAGCCCACGGCAGCGACCCCCAAGGGGAAAGAGGGCCCCTCCAAGGACAAGAAGGCAGCAGCGGCGATGAACAAGAGGAAGAGCAGCCGGCAGGAGGCCGAGGAGCCGGCGCGGTGCGCGGAGCAGGCCGCAGTGCAGGTCAGCGCGCTGCAGAACGGGGACAGGGCCCCGAAGAGACCCGAGAAGCGGCGGCAGTCCCTCGGGGGCTTCCTCAAAGGCCTGGTAGGTGGCGGTGGCTGTGTCACCTCTTCTTCCGGCCTTCGGGGAGGGAAGGGCGGAGGCAGCCCGCAGGGTGTTTATTGAGCATCTACTAAGTACCCTAACCGGGCACCACGCTAGGCGCTGGGAGCCAGAGAAACAGGGCCCTGCGATTCTGCAGTTCACAGCCAGGTGCAGGGTGGACGGGGCCCCCAGGCTGAGTACAGAAGAGCTAAAGGGCAGGCAGGGCAGAGGCATGGGGGGCAGGGGACAGCTGGGCCCTCCTCCTTCCCGGCCCTGGCCTCCAGGAAACCTGGTCAGCCTCACCTTCCTCCACACCCACCAGGGACGGCCCCTCCTTTCCCTTTCTCTGCGCCCCTCACCCACATCAGTGTCCCCTCCCCCCCAGCCCCCCCCCACACACACACAACACCATCCGCCCAGATTTTCCCATGTCTGCACGCGTGGACCCCGTGGCCCACTGCCCTGGGTTTTTGAACCTGACGGTCACTGAGCCCAGTTCTCCTCCGCGTAAGAACTGTGGAATTCTGTGGCCGCATCCTCACCCAGATCTCTCAGCCCTGCCTGAGAGGCTCGTGCAGCCCCAGGGCACAGAGCCTGAGACCTGGGAAGCGGTGGGCTGGGGCAGTCACTGTGACCCTGCTCTGTGTCTCCTCCAGTGTCTCCTCCTGATCATCCTCAGTTTTTTTTCCAAGACTTACATCTGGTAGACATTCTGGGTAAACGTTTGTTGAATGAATGAATTAATTAATGGGGAGGGAACGCATACCCCACGCCATCTCGGGGTGCTAAAAGAAAACTTTAGACACATTAAGTTTATTTGAACAACGCACAAGCCACGAATCAGGCAGCTCAGAGAACGGGAAAAGATTGAGAGCATTTAGTCCTGCAGTGTGAGCCCTGGGCTTTTATAGACAGGACGCTGAGGCCAAGCAGAGAAACTGCCTGATTGGCTACCGCATCTGACGCGTTTACCTGATTGGGCCCAGTCGAGCGCTAGGCTACCTAGGATTGGCCAGAGCTCAGCTGCTAGTGATTAGCAGAGACACGGCAGCTTGCTATGCAAATGACTCGCGTCTTTGCTAAAGCAGGCTGTGGCTCCTCACGTAGGGGCCAGGGGGCGGCCTGAGGCTGATGGCCTGCTGCTCCTTTAATTTAGCAAGGAAATAAATGCACAGAAGACTGCAGAAGAAATGGCTGCTGGAGGCAGGATTCCTTTGCGCCAGCTGCAGTGTTAGGCAGACTGGTGAAGAAAGTATTTCAGATTTGTTGGTTTCAATCTCCCCACAAAATGGGAGCCCCCCAGCATCCGAGGACCTCGGAGACCGCCAGCTCTGTGAGAGCTGGGCTCTGCCTTGAGGTTCACAGCTGGGTCTCACCTTCCATGCGCAGTAAGCAGTGGCATCAGTGGGTCAGAAGGTATCACAGATATCCAGGTCTGATGTTCTTGAAATTGTCCTGAAATTAAGGTACTTGCCATTGCTCTCCTTTACTGAAATGGTGCACCCCAGTTTAGCCACACTTAGGATTTCTTTCTTTTTGCATGTTTAAAAAATACCCACTTGTACATGGAGACAAAGGCGAAGCTCTCATTAATGTCTTGATTTACCTTTTATAACAATGGAAACTCTTCCCTGCCTTCTTCTTCGCATCCTTCTGTGCTCCCTCCCCTGCCTCCTCTCTCCTTCTTCCCCCTCCGACCTTCTCCGGTCTCTCATCTGCAGATTAGCAACCGAAATTCGAAATTCGAAATTCGAAATTCGCAAACAAGATGTTAGCACAGGAAGTCACAGAGGGAAGTTAGAGGTGAACATGGCAGTTTGCCTGCGACGGGGAGGAAGGGTGTGTCACCAGGGGGATGATGTTAGAGGTGTCCCAGGGGAGAGAGAGAGAAGGTGCTACGTGGGAGGCCAGGGAGGCTGTGCCAGGAGGAGGAAGGGCACTGGCAAAGGCCCTGTGGTAGAAAGCAGCCCAGTGAAAAGATCTCGGTGTCTGAGGAAGAGCAAGGACGTGCTGGGAACAAAGCAGGCAGCGGGAGGAGTCAGGGTGGCAGGGCGAGGGCTCCTGTGGGCTGCACAGACGGTGCCACACGGCCCCAGGGTGCCAACAGGTGTTAGGCCAGGCGGTGTAGGAGCCCGGTTTGTAACTAGTAAAGACCTGGTGATGGAGGCAGTAGGGTGATAGCTGTCTATCGAAAGGCCCTTGAGGGAAGAGGAGCCCATTCACCCACGGCCAACGTGACCCCGGAGAGCCGGTGATGCCCACAGAGTTAGTGAGCAGTGGACACCCTGGGGACCGCATGGACAGCTCCAGCCATTGAGCCCCCTCAGGACCATGCTTAGTGTGGACATCACCTCTTCAATTATGGCAGCACCCTCCAAGGTACAGTGCGGGGTCCCATTTCCCAGATGACCACTCGGACGAGCTGTGACCTCTGCCAAACACTGCACAGCTTCTCAGGGCAGCAGCTGGCAGGACAGCGTCCAGCTCCAGGGCCCAGTCCTGCCTCCTGCCACAGTTAGAGCCCTCGGGAGGCTTTCCGCCTCTCCACCGAGGCCAAAGCCCCGAGACCTTAACGCGCTCCTGAAGGGTGCCTGCCCCCTCTGCAGAGCAAGGTACTGGCACCCGCCAGGACACTGTGGCAGGACATGAGCCCCTGGCCTCCTGCCTCGGAGCGCAAGCTGGCTGGTCCCTCTGGTGACACTGCAGATTGTCATCTTCAAAGAAGCCACACAGAGTTCAAGAGATGGGCACGAAAAATAGTCCGAATGATCTGAGTGCAAACCTTTCTTTCAAATGAAATAAGAGAAAGTAGTAATGTGCCCATCTGAACTATCTTGTATTCTCTTTTTCCTTTTTTCCTTCCTTCCTTTCTCCTTCCCCCACCCTAGTTTCTCTTGCCTTTTAAACACTGCCTCCCCATTTCATGAAATATTTATTGTGCACCTTGTACCTTATTTACCGTTATTGTGCATGCTAGTGTATATACACTAACCCTATACTATCTAACATCCAGAGTCCTCGGTTGTATTACAGTACACTCCTCACACTGGCCCACACCACCTAAATATACTACATGCATCTTACTACGTTATATTCCATACATGTGCTTCACTGCATATACCGTCTCGAACTGTGCCCCGCTGCCCTATGTGACTCTGCAAGACCGGGCGGTGACAAAGTCCACCTGCTGCCTGCAGCATCGGGGCTGGCCCATGCACTCACTTTGCTGCAGGGAGGCAAAGCCCCAGGTAAAAGGTGAAATGGGGGATGAGACCAGGCCGCGGGGTCTAGTGCATCTGAGCACAGGAAAGGCTACAGCACAAAGGGGCCCCCCGTGGCTGCGGGGCGCAGTGACCCCGTGTCTTGATTTTGGTGACACCCATGACTATGGTAGTGGGCCTGCACGCCTGGAACTGTGCATGGTGGGGGAGTTTTACAGCAATGGTAGCAGAGTCATCATGACACCTGCTCCTGAGGTACCCACACTTGGGGGCGCCCCTGCACCAGCCCCAGCCGGGCACCAAGGACTGAGCAAAGATGCTCTCCTGGCTTCTGTTCCGTGCAGGAAGCAACTGCGAGGCAAATAAGCAGACAGCAAGATCGCTTCGGATGGGGCAGTGCTTCAGACTTCGCACAACAGGGTCATCTGGGGAGGAAATAAAGGGTGACATGCAGGATGGTGAGCAGAGGGGGACATACAGGGAGCTCTGCACCCCAGGGACTGTCCTACTGTGTTGCAAAGACGAACCCACTTCCTCCTGCTAAGATTTACCATCGCCAGGTTAAAGAAGAAGAACCCAAAGTACAAGGCTCGGTCCAAGCTTTCACAAAGATGGAAAGAAATTCAGCAGGGCACCAAAAGGCGGTCCCGTGGCAGACCATTGCCTCTGCCCATCGCTCCTAATAAAAGATGCTTACTTAACACAATGCCTGGCACAGAATAAGTACTAAACCAGTGACAATTTTTGCTGTCAATATCCCACCTCTTCAACAGGCTACAACTAAGTGCTTTGCTTTGTTTTTTCTCCAGGGACCGAAGCGGATGTCCGATGCTCAAGTGCAAACAGACCCGGTGTCCATCGGGCCACCCGGCAAATCCAAGTAAATAAGTCCCACAGGTCCAGCCCGGTTTGGAGACAGAGGCATCTTCCCCCTACGCCAGCCCCACACACGCTCTGTATATATTTTTTTCTTCTCACGCCCAGCAAATGAAATTCTGCCTACACATTAAGCCTGAGCTGTTGTATATTGGGGTGTATTATTTATGTCTCTGGCCCAGCCTTTCCCGGAAAATCACTGTAAAGATGGGTTAGCAAGTTAGCTGGCGGGGTGGGAGGGGTCGGCGACTGCCAAGGGGGCGGCAGGAGGGAGGGACACGGTGGATTTCGTTGTGAACCAGTGGCAGAGACAAGGTAGTGGCAGAAGAAGAGCTTCTGAGAGTTAAGCCTTGTACAGAGCCGTGTCATCGGCTGCGGAGAAGAGGAGAGGGTGCAGTTTAGGTTCAGGCTGCCAGGAGGGGGCACTCAAGCTGGATGTACCAGCTTCCTGGAACAGAAAGTGCGGGGCAAGAGAAAGGAATGAGTCAGAGTCGGTCTTCACACAGGGCCCCCGAAAGTTATCGATGAGAGATACACGATCGACTGGGGCGACTGAAATGATTTGGGAAAACAAACGCTTTGGAGGCTCAGGAAGGAGGACCAGGATCCCAATTTAAATGAAATAAACCAATGAAGTTGTGAGTTTGTTTTGCAACACAAGGGGGCGCCAGCGCCCCCGTGTTTGGGCGGCGTTCTGCATCCTTAACGATGCTGAGGTCTCTGCGATCTTACATTATTAATGCTCCTCAGATGGCGGAGGGGCTGGCTTCATCTGTTCTGTCTGACACTTATCTCAAGCCTGTCTGTAATTTCCTAATGCTTTCGGGATGTGCTCTGATAAAACCTTCCTCATAACCCCAGTTAATAAAAATTGACAGAATATTATTCAAATACCGGAGTTCTTTTTTTTTAACCCTTGCACAGAGGACTCACTAAGCCTAGGAGTGCACTACCATTTAATTCAAAGTCCCATGTGACTGCCAGTCACGTATACTGTACCTTTCTCCTCCTGATTTAACAAAAAATATACCTTTACTTCGAAAGTATCTTTGGATTTTTGGCTTTAAAGCAGGTCTCACAGACTCTGCCTGAGAGGGTCTGATCCTCCACATTATGGAGCCAAGGCTCCTCTCTGGAAGCTTCCTGTGCATCCTTGGGAGGACAAGCCCCTCCCAAGCCCTCCTGGATTTCCTCTCCAGGGTGCATGCACACTTACATGTCCTCAGGGGAGGATCCTTCCCAGCTGGCTGCAAGCTGCCCCATGTGGTAGGGCGCCTCCTGTGACCTGGGAGCAGGGCCCGGGTCCCCAGTGAGTCCTGCACTGCCCCAGAAGTGGACAGGCCAGCCAGTGGCTCCAACTAAGCTGAAAGGCTGGGAGCATCAAGCAGCCAGAAAATGACTGTGTGGTCAGTGTCCACGGAGGACACAGATGTGTGCTCATGCACACCTGTGCACACTCATGGACAGTCGGCGTTTGTACAGATGAGCAGCAGAGGAACGGATCCATGTATGCACCCACTCATATTCACCCACAGACACAGGCAGTGAACACAGATGCACACACATGCACGCATGTACACACACACATACACACAGCAGACCACTCTGCCTGCAGTCCGCCTCACCCTGGTCAGAAGTAAACACTGGAAATGCTCTCCTGACACAGGCTGGAGTACAGGAGCCCTGCCTCTGATAAACAGGTGCTTAGAAAATGTGCTCAGAAAAGCCTGGCACCTCTACACACCTAGACTCGGGTGGGAGCCCCCGCTGCCCTACCCACCGGCTGCCAGTGCAGACCACTGAATGCTAGGTTTCCAGTTCCTCCTGGAGGCCGTTTCCCTGTGGCTGGATTTAGTCTCTGGTCCTCCTGTGGCTTCAGATCCTTTTGTACAGCTCATATCTGACCTCTTACCTGGGCACGGAGCTCAGCTCTGAACTCTTACCTGGGCACGGAGGCAGGAAAACCCTCCGGGAAGCCCCTGGCAGAGGGCCACCACTCCTGCTCCCCCACTGCCGTCTTTAGGCAGGGAATGGGTGGAGGAATCAGGCAGCCGGCTGTCCCTTTGTCCTCAGACTTCTGAGGGCTGCTGTGATGACCTTCAGTGAGCATCCTCCATGGAAGATTAATTAAAATAAATTTTTAAAATAAAACCATCTCCAAAGTCTGCTTTGCAGATTTCCCCTCCCTGGGCACGAGGGCTTTTGCCCAGATGAGAAACATCCTGGTGCAGAAGGGGTGAAGCGGAACAAATGTCTTAGTGGCTCAGATTGGGTCACTGAGGCAGAGGGACCCTCACCCCCAGTCAGAGAAACCAAACAGAAAATTGAGCTTCTGAGCACAGACTGCAAAGCATGAAGATGGCTTTTCTGACTGGGGTCCCCTCCTCCTGGGCCAGAGGAAACTCTTTTAAATGAAAAGGTCTGGGTTTGTTCCTCCCCCTAAGGCAAGAACATTTAAGGAACCAAGAACTACACATTACTTATTGGGGGAGTCTAAAGCCACTGATGGTTCAAGAAGCAGGTTCACACTACACTCGGCTTCCTTCGTGTGCTGTGCTCTTTTCCGTTGTTGGCTTTTTAGCTGGCATCTCATTCCTGGTGCATTTACAATAAATACTAATTTCCACGCCTGTGTGCTGAGTCAGTGTGAACCCCTTCCCCACAGGGGGCTCAGGAAACCCCTAATGACACAGAGAAACCCGCAGGGGGACTGAAGTCCCTCCAAAAACCCGGCTGAGCACCCAGGGGGAAGAGGCCGAGCAAAATTACACGCAGAAAGACTGAGAGCTGTCCTCAGGGAGAAAGAGCAGGGAAGACCCCGGGAGGGCAGAGTCACTCCTGGACGGCCGAGGACTTATTTACTGATTTATTTTTGGGTGCTCAGGGAAGTGCATCTTCTCCCTCGCCAGGAAGAAGCAGCCTTTCCAAGATTGGGGCTAGTGAGCTGAAATGCCTTCTGCTGTGCACACACACACACACACACACACACACTCACTCACACACACCTATTCATCCCTGTCTCACGCCAGTGGCCTCATTCAATTAGACTCCAAGAGGCCAGAACGCACCCCACTGACTTTTCCTCAAAGAACCAGGAAAAGAAGCTTCTACTGCGGGCCCTGGCTTGTCATTTCTTCTGTCACCCAATCCCGAATTGATCCGTGGCCTTCAGAAATAAAATCAGGGCTGGGGGGGCAGCTCCGTGTTGGAGCACCTCTTTAGTACACCTGAGGCCCCGGAACCCTAGCCCAGCCTCGCAAAAGAATAAATTAATTCAAATAAATTTTAAAAATAAAACCATCTCCACCACCTTCTTTAAAGGGGAAGAAGGGGAAATCTACACGGCAAGCTAGGAGGGCTGGCCGCACCCCGTGGCCACGGGTGAGGCTGGCAGGAGCTGGTCTACCACCCGCTCGCCGGTCCCCCTGCGGCCGGCTAAGAAGCCAATTCCGCATGGCCAGCAGACCAGGCTTCCCCACAGTCAGGACTTCGTGCACTGTCAGCGAGAGAGGAGAGGAGCTGGTCCCTTGGAAATCAGGGCTCCACGGGAAAGAAAAGAAATTACTCACTGGGCAGCAGATTCTGCACATTTGTAATTCAGATTTTAGCTCAGCCCAAGGGGCCAGCCCTGAGCAGGAATCAACTTCGTGGGGAGTTTAACCCTTTAGCTTCCGCCACCCTCGCCAGAAAGCCGCTCTGTCCATCGTCTCCGTCCCCTGCCCTGAGGGTGACACTGACCACACATTTCGGTCTATGAGACGCTTTCAGAGCGTATCTTCTACTTTAAAGCCGAATGCCTCTACCTGTATTTAACTGATGCCTTCGTTACACTGGGTTCAGGGCACCGGCCAGCACCTGCATAGACTCTGCTGCTTTGCAGCCCAGCGCTTGGTGGCAGCTCCGCCCGGCTGCACACCTGGTGGGCTGCGTTCCTATCCCTCACTGAGCTCTGTTCCTCTACATCCCACCACACGGGGGCGCTCTGGGAGCTGGGGTTCCACCATCCCTAACCAGGCCTTTTCCCTTGTTGGCCTAAGCAGGAAATTGCACTGAAGCAGAATTAAGGGTTTACTCGTCGATTCATTCTAGAAAGCACTTCAGTTTAACCAAGTGGCCTGGAATAAGAATGCCAAGCTGGGAAAGTCCGTTGTTGCCTCTGAGTCCCAGCCCTGGAAAGCAAAGATTTTTCCATGCTTACCCACTCTACCAAGCTCAAGAGAAGACTTGTGATAGCAAAGTTTTTATGCTGGCGTCACTGCTGAAGTCACTGCTATGGGCCCATGTTGTCCAGAAAGACACCTCACCTGGCACGCCCCCCACACCTCATGAGAGGACAAAGGGCTTAACTCTCAACTTCCTCCCGCACCGGTGCATGGAGCTGCTCTGAACACAGGCTGAGATGATTTGAGGCAAACGCAGTGCAGGGGCCGACACGCAACAGCTTGTCAAATGTCACCTGTCCCTGTCGCGGGGAGCTTCTAGTACCCAGATTAACTAAGGGTGATAACACCAAGAGGCCGTCTGGCATCCCACACCCAGGGGCTAGGTCACAGTCTTGACTTTGGTTCTCGGAGGCCCTGTTCTGCTACTAAAAAGAATAAAGGAATTGTGCACTGCATACGGCAGAGGTGCCATCACAGGCTGGCTCTGATCCTCCAGGTCTCTGCTCTGCCCTGCCCTGTTCTATGGGTTGACTGCGTCCTAATGAAACCAGTGCCAGGTAAATGGTGGCTGCAGTTCCGGGCAAGGGGATTGTGGCATTATGATAATTGATCTCCAGTCATGGTTTTGATGAAAAAGTTATTGAAAAGGCAACTACAATGGTATAATAAACAGGAAAGCGGTCGTTAATATGGGTTTTTGTTTTTCTAGGTTTGTCTGTTTCTTTGGTACCGGGGATTGAACTCACAACCTTGCACTTGCCAGACAAGCATTTGTGCTGCTGAACTAAATTCCCAGTCTCAATATGAATATTTTTAAGGTAATCCATTCTCCCCAAAACAACCACTCCATGTAACTCAGGTTGATAGAGTCTGTGTGACTACGAAGCCCCATTTGCCAAAGCACGGCCATTGTGCTGAGTCCACTAAGACCAGGAGCTTTCTATCTGCTCACTGACTGCTCCATGGTCAGCGTCTAGCATATCGCCTGAACATTCCAAATACCCAGTAAGGGGTACGGGATGCACACACCAATGGACTCAGTGTTTATTGGCCGTACGTTGCCTTACGATGCAGTATGAGCTTGTTTTAGCTCCAAGAGTTTGATAAATCCAACCAGGTATCCACCTCCTCAGGGGAGTGGACCCGAGGGTTCTCAGAGTATGGAGCCCAGGCTAGCGCATCAGCCTCCCCTGAGAACAGGATAGAAACACAGACTTTCTAGGCCCCACTCCAGACCCTGGTCAGACAGCCTTGGAGCCGGACCCACCTGTGGCATCCCAGCCTCTGCAGGTGGTTCTAACAGAGGGGGCAGTTGGAGCCACAAGCATCGTTACCCACAAAGTAAGCACTCCTGAGCACCCCTTCTCTCCCTCCCTCCCTCCCGGCCTCCCTCCTGGGGTCTTCCTGACACACTGCCTGTCCCGCCTTCCTGTCTCTCAGGGCCTGCGTCATCCTTAGGAACCTCCCAGGAAAATGCAGCTCCTGCCAAGCAGTCTTACAGAGGGCAGTGGATGCGGACACCAGCTTTATTTTTTTTTTTCTTTTTTTTGTCTTTTTCGTTTTTACTGGTACCAGGGATCGAACTCACAACTACCTGCTTGCAAGGCAGGCGCTTATGCCGCTGAGCTAAATCCCCAGCCCCTGGGGACACCAGCTTTAAAGGCACTGGAGGCTTTGCAAAGGCCAGCTGCTGGCAGGGAGCTAGAACCAGAACCGGAAGCAGAAATG